TGGGGTGAGCTGAGGAGTAGAGAGATAGATTTGTGTGTCATCAGCATAGAAATGGTATTGGAAGCCATGGAAAGGTATCAGCTGACCCAAGGAAGATATGCAGATCGAGAATAGGAGAGGTCCAAGGACAGAACTTTGGGGAACCCCGATGGTAAGAGGAGTAGGAGAGGAGGAAGTAGAGTTGTAAGTGACACTGAAGGTGCAGTGAGATAGGTAAGAGTCAAACCAACAGAGTACAGTCAAGGAGACCAAGTAAATAAAGTTTTTTGAGGAGGAGGGGGTGGTCAACTGTGTCAAAGGAAGGGGAAAGGTCCAAGTGTAAGAGTATGGAATAGTGACCATTGTTTTTAGTGGTTAGTAAGTCGTTTGTGAGTTCTAGGAGAGCAGTTTCTGTGGAGTGCTGTGGGCGAAATCCAGATTGAAGGGGATCAAAAAGGTTATTCTCAATAAGATGGCAGCTCACAAGGTTGTAGACTAGACGTGCAAGGAGTTTGGAGGCAAAAGGGAGTAAGGAGATGGGTCTTAGGTTGCTAAGATTGGTGGGGTCCAATGAGGCCTTTATAAGTATGGTGCATGTTTTTGAGGGTTGGGGAAGATGCCAGTAGAAAGGGAGAGATTGAAGATATGAGTTAAAGAGTGAAGGATAGAGCCAGAGGGTGACCGTAATATATGTCAGGGAACAGGGTCCAGGGGGTAGGTGGTTAGGTGGGCTTTAGAAACAAGTTTACGAACCTCACCTATAGTTCCTGAGTTAAGCAAGGGAAGTATATATTGTGCAGCTGGACAAGGAGTGTAGGGTGAGGGAGATGTGTGTACAGTGGAGATCTCGTCACGAATTGTATCAATCTTATTTTTGAAGTGATTAGCAATCTCCTGGGCAGTGAGTGAGATAGTGAGTGGAGGTAAAGAAGGACGAAGTAGAGAGTTAAAGGTAGAAAAAGAGTTGATGGGGATTGCATGAGAGGATGTTAATGAGAGTGAAATAATAGGTCTGTTTGGCAATGTGGAGACAAAAATTGTAGTTTTGAAGGGCAGATTTATATTAGTCGAAGTTTTGCTGAGTCTTAAGCCATAAACACTCAAGAGCATGGCTACGTTTTTTGAGGCATCTGGTATTGTCTGTTTGCCAGGGCTGGTTTCTATGGGTAACTGTTTGGTAGTTGAAAGACAAGGAGGAGGAAGCCAAGGAGAGAGTGGATCTAATAAGGGAGTGATCAGAGAGAGGAAAAGGAAAGTTGGTGGGGTTGCAAGGAGTGCATAGGTAGGAGAATACAAGGTTGAGGCAGTTACTGTTAGAGTAAGTAGAAGCATTCGTCCATTGTTTTAGGTCAAAAGAAGTGGTTAGGCTCAGCAGTCTAAAGGTAACATGAGTGTTAAGATTAAAAGGGATGTGAAGTCACCAAGAATGATTGTGGGAATTTCAGAAGAGAGAAAGTAAGGCAGCCAGGAAGTAAGTCATCAAGGAAGCTTGATACCTGTCCAGGAGGTCAATAAATCACAGCAATTCATAAAGAAACTGGAGAGAATAGACGAATACAGTGAACTTCAAATGAGCAGAGTGACAGAGAGGGAGGTGAGTGAAGGACCTGAGAAGTGCTTTTTAGGAGATAGGAGGATTACAACTCCTTTACATCCACTAGGCCTGGGAGAGTAAGTCCAGAGGAGACCACCATGGGAGAGAGCAGCAGGAGAGGGAAAGTCAGATTCATGAAGTCAGGTTTCTGTAATTGCAAGTAGGTTAAAGGAGTTTGTGATAAAAAGTTATGGACATAAGTGAGTTTGCTACAGACAGAGCGGGCATTCCAAAGGGCACAGGAAGAGGGGAGGCTAGTTCTAGGAAGAAGAGGAATAGTAACCAGATTGCGTGGATTGCGGCAGCTAGGTGCTGGGTGCATTGGTCAAAGGAAAAGATGGCACCCAGGATTTGGGGAAATGTCTCTAGATGTTAGGAGAATCAGAAGGGTGAGAGAGGTAATATGGGAGTATGACTTATATGGAGGGACAGGTTCCAGTGTCCTGGAGGTTTTATTTGTATGTGGGTTCAGAATTAGCAGGAGCTGATGAGTGCAGTAATAAGGTGAAGACAGGATAAGAGTGATATATATAGGCTGTGGGGTGGAGAAGAGGGGGGGGAAGGAGAGAGAGTTTGAAGAGAGAGGATACAACTGTGAGAAGGAGGAGTAGGGAGAGCATGTTACAGAGTGGTGAAATGAAAAAGCAGACTGGGTAAAAGCTGAAAGAGCTGGATGGGGAGACAGGTCACCTGTAGTCTGTTTAATATTTGAGGTTGTCTGCTGTGGTTTCTCACTGTGTGCACCCGCTGGAGTGCAGAGCTGAAATGCAATGCTCAATACTTAATCTAAGATGATAATTGCCAATGCTACCACTGAATTTGCACAGACATACCATAAAGAAGATGACTTGTCACACCTGTGAGACATCATTTCACACAACCGGACCACACTATGGAAGACCTCAATATTTTAGTTCTTAACCACTTCCTGTCCGGACACTTTTTACCCCCTTCCTGTCCAGGGCAATTTTCAGCTTTCAGAGCTATCACACTTTGAATGACAATTGCGCGGGGTCATGCAATACTGTACCCATATGATGTATTTTTTTACCATTTTTTTGAGACAGATAAAGCTTTATTTTGGTGGTATTTATTCACCGCTGGGATTTTTATTTTTTTTACTATGTAAATGAAAAAGTCCCAATCATTTTGAATAAAAGTGTTTTTTTTTTATAAAATTTTGCAAATAAATAATATTTCATCATAAATCTTGGCCAAAATTTATTCCGTTATTTTTTTAGTAAAAAAAAAAAATCAAAATTAGTTTATAACCAAAAATTATCATTTTTAAACATTTTTTTTTACATTTTTATATTTTTTTTTTATATTATTATTTTGTATTTTTTTTTTTTTTTTTACATACTGTCACCCTAGCAGTACAGTGTTACACTGTACTAAAATTGTTTCTAGAAAAGAACACTGATAGTTATGAATCAACTTCAGTAATGTAGGCCATAGACGGGTCGTTTGTCTGCCGATTTTTAGTCCGCACAAAAAAATCGACCAATATTCATGCCATTAGTGGGGCCCGCCCATCGGCCGTTTTTCGTGGATCGTCTCATTTACTTTTATCGGTCATGCTGTAAAATCCACGATGGTGGCAGCATCGGCAACGGCGCCGACCAATTTTTCATTTATCAGCCGACAATTCAACCTGTCTATGGCCTGCCTAAGAGGTGGATTTTAAAAACAGTATAGATTACCAGAGAGCACAGCATGGTGAATTAGCATTTGTACATGGCATGGCCGATAGTACAGATGGATATTAGCTCGCAGACATTTACCTGTAATGGGATAGAAAAGAGTTAATCAGATGATGCAGAGCTGAAGTGCAATGCTCGATATTTAATCCAAGATCAATACTTTATCCAAGATGATAGTTGCCAATGCTACCCCTTGGCTGTGCTGCCCTGGGCTGAATAACCAGCTTTACTCAGTATCTACAGTACCAGGCTAGAATACCAGAGAAGCAATTAGCATGTCAGCCACTATCTTAACGAATGATTGAAATTAAAAACGAGTCCTACAAGTTATGAAATGCCTTGGACGTGGCTTCTTTATGTTATTACCAAGGAAGTCATACTTTGCTTATGTACTTCCTTGTTACATGGTAACTTGCCAAAGTTCAGTATCGGAATTTTACAATGTGCCTGTTACGTCCTGCAAGAATTCAGATAACTATAAGATAAGAAAACGTCATTTCTCAATAAACAGCTAATTTGCCCTGGAGCAACTTAACCTATAGCAAAAAATATACATTAGTAAGACGGAATGGTATTTTGCTGATTTTATCATTTCATTGTAGATATCATTTTTCTCTAGACAGGTTTCAGAAGAATTGTTATGTTCCTTGAGGGAGTTTACATTGTATGTATAATGGTACTTCTGGGTTCAATACTATATAAGAGGCGATTGGTAGCTCAGTTTTGAAGTGGACAGAGAAGAAGACAAAAACTTTAAGATTCATTAGGTAAGCACACCTTAATTAATTGTCAGAGGATTCTTGTATTCTTACCAGTAAATTAAAATAAAGGGCACTATTAATGCATTTTTTTAATAATTTAAGATTTTAAAAACAAATAACCAATTTTTTTTTTATCACATTTGCAGGCTCCCGGTCCATCAAAGGATATAAAGTGCTGGTAAGTACAAAGTATGGTCAGGATTGCATTTGGCTCATTGGTTTCTGGCTCTGGAATCCTGATCCTGGTAGTTCTCAGTGGGTTTCCCTATATACTGTATCTCTAACCTATCCTTAAAGTAGATGCAAACCCTTAGTGCAGTGGTTTATCAACCTGTGGGTTGCGACCCCTTTGGGGGTCGAATGACCCTTTCACAGGGGTCCCCTAAGACCATCAGAAAAACACATATTTCCTATGTGTAAAGCGCAGCTGGACTGTGTAGAAAGCAGCTGCTGGGTTGAAAGCAGTGTACTCTGTTAAAAGCAGCTGCTGTGTTGAAAGCAGCAGTATTGGAGGTTTGTCCCCCCTAAAACGACACTCATAAATTATAATTACTGGGTAAATAATTTTTATGGTTGGGGGGTCACCACAACATGAGGAACTGTATTAAAAGGGTCACCAACATTTCAGGAAGGTCGAGAACCACTGCCTTAGTGGATGCCATTTATTTTTAATACAATACTGGTTGTATGTTTTTTTTCATTATTTGTTCCATTTCAGTACTACTTATCTCCTCTTTGAACCATTTCATGTCTACATGCACTCACGCCAACATTGGTGGCACATCATTGCCCTGGACTGGCTTCCTGAGAGTGACAATGGTGGACCTTGCAGAATGTTGCTCAGCATGGCCACTTGTAGTCTCTACCAAGTGTGCTTGTGACAGAATGATAGTGTAGGAACACACAGCTGGCAGGATCACAGTTGTCACCCTATAACAGCCCCAGGGGCGGACTGACAAACTCATGAGGCCCCCGGGCAATATTTTATGGGGCCCCTGTCCTTGCCCACACTCAAAGCACACCCAAAAAGCCTATAAAAAGGTACCAGGGGCATTTCATGGGGCCCCCTACTGACCCCATGCCCTCAAGTAGTGCCCGAGTGCTTGAATGGTCAGTCCGCCCCTGAACAGCCCAAACAAGGGCTTTCATGCTAGGATCACCAGGTATTATTTTCATGAAAGCTGCAGATGAAAAATTCAGACAAATTTTGAATCAGATTAACATGGTAAAGGATATAGAATTTTTATAAATGTTTGATTTACTTTATTCCTAAACTGTAAAACTAGTTAGAATAAATTGTCTTTGGTTCATGGTAGGATCACCTGGAATTATTTTCATAAAAGCTGCAGATGAAAAATTCTGACAAATTTTGGAATCAGAATACCATGTTAAAGGATATAGAATTTTTGTGAATTTTTGATTTACTTTTTCCTAAACTGTAAAACTAGTTAGAATAAATTGTCTTTGGTTCATGGTAGGATCACCTAGAATTATTTTCATAAAAGCTGCAGATGAAAAATTCTGACAAATTTTGGAATCAGAATAACATGTTAAAGGATATAGAATTTTTATGAATTTATGATTTACTTTTTTCCTAAACTGTAAAACTAGTTAGAATAAATTGTCTTTGGTTCATGGTAGGGTCACCTGGTATTATTTTCTTGAAAGCTGCAGATGAAAAATTCTGACAAATTTTGGAATCAGAATAACATGTTAAAGGATATAGAATTTTTGTGAATTTTTTATTTACTTTGTTGATTTTTGACAAGGTAAAATAGTTTGAAATTTCCTCTTGTGAATGCAAATAGGGTAAATGCATAGCTCCCAGAAAATTTTATTTTGCAGGGACATTTTTTACAAACAATATGTTTCTTTCCTAGAGAATTTTTTTTATCACATCTATGAACATTGCTTTATTAGATCTTTTTTGTAGATTCTGATCATCTTCATTGTCTATATTAGCTGATTCAAACCTGTTCTGCTAAATTTGCTCTGGGCATAACCAGTTCAATTCCTGCAACTCTCTACCCCTTAGGGACTAGATACATTTTTACATTTCTTCTATGGGCCTATAAATTCAGTGATGACTTTGTCATTCTCATTACTTAAAATGACATAGTACTGTAATACATATATTATTGTTTTTTTTTTTTTCTGTACAATGTTTTTTTTTCTTGGCAATACTGTATTCAAAGCTTGATCAATGTTAGTTTTAAAACAAGTGTCCCTCTCAATAAAAACTACACAACAATTTTGTTTCCTTTCCAAAACAAAGCACATTTATTTATAAGTGAAATTACGTTTTTTTTTCTTCATTTTGACAATTTATTTGAAATGCATCACTAAAAAAATTAAGGGAAAAGAAAATGAAAGCAAAATTTTCTATTTTAAATATAAAAATTAGAAGTAAAAAGAAAACAAAAAGAAAAATCAGCAGCAAAATGAAAAAAAAAAGTTTCTACGTATATTAAATGTACAAATTAGAAATAAAAGAAAATACAAATAAAAATCAGCAGCAAAATGAAAAAAAAAAAGTTTATACGTATATTAAATGAACAAATTTGAAATAAAAGAAAATAGAAATAAAAATCAGCAGCAAAATAACAGCTAAGGAGAAAAAGGGAATGAGTTAATTTAGGCTGATTAGCTTTAAGGAAGGGTCACTATGGGGTTAGATGGGAATACAGTTTATTGTTGTTTATATTGTTCTAAACAATGTTGTTTTAACCAATACTCTATGAAAAGAAAAAGTCATATGTTTAATATGTTACCAAAAAAAAAAAGACAATTAACCCTTGCCCTCCAAAGGATTTACCCCCCTTCCTGACCAGGCCATTTTTTGCGATACGGTACTTTACTTTAACTGACAATTGCGCGGTCATGCAACGCTGCACCCAAATGAAATTTACATCCTTCCTTTATCACAATTAGAGCTTTCTTTCCGTGGTATTTGATCACCTCTGCATTTTTTTTTTTTTGCACTATGAACAAGATTGACAATTTTGAAAAAAAACCCCTATATTTTTGACGTTTTGCTATTAAACATATCCAGTACAAATATTTTAAAAAATCAAATTTCATCATACATTTAGGCCAAAATGTATCCTTCTACATCGCAATAAAAAAAAATCTCAATACGTGTAAATGAATTGGTTTACTTGAAAATTATAGCATTTACAAATGGTGGTTATATATACTGTAATTTTCTTTTTTTTTAACTAGTAATGGCGGCAATCTGAGACTTTTAGCGGGATTGCAGCAGGCATTCTGAGACTGGGGGGGGGGGACTGACCTGGTGTCACTGACATCCTCGGTGACACCAATACAGTGATACTGTACTAATGGCACTGGGCAGGAAGGGGTTAACATGTGGGGCGATCAAAGGGTTAACTGTGTGCTGTTTTACTGTATGCTGTGTTAGTGCTTTACACTGTTATGCAGAGTTATACAAAGCAGTGTGCAGGAGCTGACAGGGGAGAGATCTGTGTTGTTTGTACACAGGTCTCTCCCTCATTGGTAATACTTGGCAATCACTGGGTGCCGGTAGGAAATCACCAGCTGGGACCCGGTGATTGACAGCCAAGACCATGAATGGTGGGGCCCCCCCTACCCGGAACTGTAAAATTACGTATATACAGTACACATGAATTTGCTCACCTGTGCCTCCCTGTAGCAGTATTTCTGCTATAGGGTGTTGCAGAAACCATTAGATGGGATTACAGCAGGGGCGGAATGACCATTTGGAAACTTGAGCACTGCCCGAGGGCCCGGGGTCAGTAGGGGGCCCCATGAGATGCCCTTGGTACCTTTTTCATAGGCTTTTTTGAGTTTGGGCAAGAACACAGGGGCCCCATTGTCCCCTATTGCCCGGGGGCCCCATGAGTTGTAAGTCCGCCCCTGGATTACAGTTTATTGTTGTTTATATTTTTCTAAACAATGTTGCTTTAACCACTTACCCTCCAGAGGATTTCCCCTCCTTCCTGACCAGGACATTTTTTGCAATACTGTGCTGCGTTACTTTAACTGACAATTGCGCAGTCATGCAACACTACATCCAAATTACATTTATTTTATTTTTTCCCCACAAATAGAGCTTTCTTTCAGTGGTATTTGATCACCTGTGCGGTTTTTATTTTTTTATAAACAGAAAAGACCAACAATTTTGAGAAAAAAAATCTATATTTTTGACTTTATGCTATTAAACATATGCCGTAAAAAAACTTTAAAAAAATCAAGTTTCATCATAAATTTAGGCCAAAATATATTCTGCTCCATGTCTTTGCTAAAAAAAAAATCCCAATACGTGTAAATTAATTGGTTTATTTGAAAGTTATAGCGTTTACAAATGGCGGTATATATACTGGAATTTTTCTCTCGTTGCAGATATTTGGCGATCAGCGGGTGCCAGCAAGAAATCACTGGCTGGGACCCGGTGATTGACAGCTGAGGCCGCAAATGGAGGTGTAGGTAGGGTGCGTGCCCCCTACCCGGAACTGCAAAATCACGTATATATATGTGATTTTGCATACCTGTACCACCCTGTAGCAGTATTTCTGCTAAAAGCGGTTAAGCGGTTAACCGATATCCTATGAAAAGAAAAAGTCATTTGTTTAATCTGTTACAAAAAAAAGACAACTAGTGAAATCAGGGTCCAGGGAGACCGGATATAGTGAATGCAGGGTCCGGGGAGAGCGAATATAGTGAATGCAGGGTCCGGGGAGACCGGATATAGTGAATGCAGGGTCCGGGGAGACCAGATATAGTGAATGCAGGATCCGGGGAGATTGGATATAGTAAATGCAGGGTCCGGGGAGACCGGATATAGTGAATGCAGGATCCGGGGAGATTGGATATAGTAAATGCAGTGTCCGGGGAGACCAGATATAGTGAATGCAGGGTCCGGGGAGAGCGGATATAGTGAATGCAGGGTCCGGGGTCACCAAATATAGTGAATGCAGGGTCCGGGGAGACCAGATATAGTGAATGCAGGGTCCGGGGAGACCAGATATAGTGAATGCAGGGTCATGGGTTTAGTAACACTTTAAATATGTATCTGTGTAGTTGGTTTTGATACATATTAGTGGATCACCCTTGAACGCCCTTTTTTTTGCCCTTTTTGTTTTGTTCTGCTTTTTTGGGTTGGTGACCCTCCGCTATAATTAATCTCACTGCTGCTATATCAGCCCCACCTTTAGTATTTGCGAGTTCTTTTGATTAAAGGTAATGCCAAATGGTTTTTGATGAACATTTTTTTTTTTTTGACCAGGAAAATTTAAAACATTATGTAACAAGAAAATGCAGCGCTAAATAGCGTAAAAAACCATCAATTATGCAAAAGTCAAAAAACTTCTTAAATGCTCAAAAATCTTCTTAAATGAGTGACACCAAACCATCAAAAGAGGCGGAAAACCCCACATTGAGTGAATCAAGAAAGGAGGAAGATAACACCTCTAGGATCCTGGTGAAAACAATGGACATATAACAGCTCTTATCAGAGCTATTGGTCTTTTATATCAAAAAAGCTTACAGCGTTTTAGGGATTAACCCCAAACAACTCTCTGGTTTGTAGCGCAGAGATGTTTCAGCCCTTGGCTCTGCTCCAACTCCGTGTTTCCACCGGTAAACCATGCAAGGAATACACATTAACAGTGTAGCATGCCCAAGACTTAAGCCTTGTATTAAGAATAAATAAATGCACTCTCAATGGTTTAAAAATTGCATAGCCGTCAAAGAACAATCCCGGAGCTGTAGCACTCCTAATGCATGGACATTCCAGCCAGTGGCTGTGTAGCATGGCAACGTCACATGAAGCTCTACCCAATGCGTTTCGTCCTCATTTGACGTCGTTACATTTTCAAGAATTTAAAACACTGCATTTCAATTTAAAGCAGTCTTCTATTGAGTTTTCTATCCAACCAACATCATTGAAATTCTATCCTCCTTAATTTTTCTGAAAGATGGCAACTGTTTACAGAATTCAAAGAGTCAGCAGCAGTAATTCCTCTCTTTTTATGTACAGTGTGGGGTTGATTTACTAAAACTGAAGAGTGGGAAACCTGGTGCAGCTGTGCACAGAAACCAATCAGCTTTCAGGTTTTATTGCGAAAGTTAGAAGCTGATTGGTTTCTATTCAGAGCTTCACCATATTTTGCACTCTCTAGTTTTAGCAAAGCAACCCTATTGTGACCAAAGATTTGATTTTTTGGGGGCGTACCATTCCAAAGACATTAATATGGATTTACCCCTCTCTTTTTACACTAATAACAGCCATCTATTGTCTGGAAAGGTTTTCCATAAGATTTTGTAGTGTATCTGAGCATGTGTGCTTATTCAGCCAAAAGAGCATTTTTGAGGTCAAGTGTTGATGTTGGACGAGAAGACCTGGCATGTAATCAACATTCTAATTAATATCAGAAGCTGTTTCTTAGAGTTGAGGTCAGGGTTCTTTGAAGGCCACTCTAGTTTCTCCTTATATAACTACCCTGTATGTCTTTATGGAATGTACATTGTGTGCAGGAGTACAGTCATGCTCTAACTGAAACGGTCCTTCTCCAAACTGCTACCACACCATAGGAAGTGCACAATTGTGTCTTTATAAAATAGGGTGCAGCGCTATAGTAGCCTTCTAATGCGGCGGGGAGAAGGGAAAACGGCTCCAGAAGGAATTGTTGGCTTTACAAAATGAGCCGCCACCCGGAATGTCATTAAATGAAAAGAGTGTTCGGAATTCTATTACGCAGGCTCCCTGTGAGCTTCTCACCACCCACAGAGCTACATGAGAGAAAGGCAGAGCCATTGCTGACAGCGGAGTGAACAGTGAAGGATATCAGACCATACCTACCTTAAAGGGGCCTTCAGTTTACCACTGAGAGTGTTACCTCTAAATGCGCTTATTGATTGCACATCTGGTGAGTGCGCAGTCTTTATACGTTTGGTCACATCACCATCTTACTGGATAAGACCACCAGTTATTGGAAATCTTCATGATCTTCCAAGCACTTGATCTTCCAGGATCTTCCACGCATTTGTTTTGGACTATATGTTTTGATTACTATTTCCAGCACTTTATTTATGCACTTTTGGTCACTAAATAGTGACAAAGTTATTTTGACACATTGAGTCACTTTATTCAATTGATAAGCACTTTGTCACCAGTCACTTTTACTGATATTCTCATTTTATTCGTATTTATATATGCATATTTTACACATGTGGTTATGTTTACTATAGTGCTGCACCCTATTTTATATTGATGCTTTGAAGGTTTTTGGTACCTTCTGGTGTTTCAGCAGCTGAAGTGACATCCAGCGCTCACTTACCTCTCTGTGCTTTACAATCGTGTCTTTGTATGCTCTTGATCTTAAATTTTGTCACATTGTTTAGCTCAGTCTGAAGTTTCAGTCAAAGAAAGCAAGCAGCACCTGATGTGCTGTCTTGTTAGCTATCCCACAGTGCTCTGGTAATCCTTTGCCATATAATTATCATATACAAAACAGCAGTTTATAGATATATACATTTTAAATAGGTAAAATACAGTTGGCGTCAAGCCATCATAGTTTTCCTTTCAATAGAGGAATGTAGAAAATTTTACACCTACTCACTCTTTGTTATTAACTGTAATTACAGGAGAAGATGGGACGTGACCTGCTGGTGGTGATGTGCTTGTGGAGTTGCATCCTAACTGTGAACTGCGAATTCAGTAATAAAGCAGTTTACAGTGTGACAAACTACATTAGAGAAAAAATCATCAATGAAATTTGGAAAGAGTAAGCATTGTTTCCTTTGTGTTTTTTCTGCTTTGATGCTTCTTTGCTATAAATTGGTTATTTAGATCTGGCTGAATTGACTAGGGAAACCATGGAACCTAAAGTGTACACAATTTCAACACCCTCTTCTAGGGCTGTGATGGTTCCATCTCTTCTCAGACCTCAGATTGGATGTTGACTCGGAGCCCCAAATGTAAGGATTGCAGCACCTCCATTGGAGTTCAGTAAATGTCACTTCCTGAACAGTCATAGCGCTTCTAGTCCCTTAGAGATCATTGCAGAAGACAACATCTGAGGGGATGGAGGAGGAGAACCTCAACTTGTGATCAGAATATACACTCACCATCCCCTTTATTAGGTACACCTGTTCAAGTGCTTGGTAACAGAAATTGCTATTCAGCCAATCACATGGTAACAACTCAATGCATTTAGGCATCTAGACGTGGTGAAGATGACTTTCTGAAGTTCAAACTAAGCATCAGAATGGGGAAGAAAGGGGATTTAAGTGACTTTGAACGTGGTATGTTGTTGGTGACAGATGGGCCGGTCTGAGTATTTAAAAAACTGCTTATCTACTGGGATTTTCAAGCACAACCATCTCTAGGGTTTACAGAGAATTGTTCGAAAAAGAGAAAATATTCAGTTGTGTTAACAAAAAAACCTTGTTGATGTCAGAGGTCAGAAGAGAATGGGCAGACTGGTTGCTGCGACATTCAGATGGTAGGGTCAGAATTTACAAAACATGAATGCATGGATCCATCCTGCCTTGTATCAAATGTTCAGGCTGGTGGTGGTGGTGGTGTCAGGGTGTGGAGAGATTTTCTTGGCACTAGCAAGGTGAACCTAATAAAGTGGCCAGTGAGTGTATGTTTTAGGTGTTGCATGCAGGAGAGCAGTAGACCAAGGATTCATGTCAACAGATGTTCTTCTCATCTGTTGTGTTTTCCATTCAATTGCATGCTGCTGAGTTTGACAGGCAAAGATTTCACTTGACCTGCTTTGCATGCAGTTTCTCCATACGGCATGCAACATCCAAAGCAATGCAACGTAGAGCAGGTCAAATGCAACCTCTTTGCTGCTATGTGTACTGCTCCTTTGTTATCAATGGCCTTCAGTTGTGTTTAATGTCAAATGCAGGACAATCTTTGTCAACATGAACCTTTCAGATATGGTTGAGATCAGGGGCGGACTGACAACTCATGGGGCCCCCAGGCAATAAGGGATCATGGGGCCCCTGTGTCCTTGCCCAAAATCAAAAAAGCCTATGAAAAATAGATACCAGGGGCATCTTATGGGGCCCCCTACTGACCCCGGGCCCTCAGGCAGTGCCCGAGTTTCCAAATGGTCAGTCCGCCCCTAGTTGGGATGTTGGATGGCCCAAAACAGGACAGTGTGTGTAAACCCAGAACTTGCTTTTTCTTTTTTCTTCTATTTTTTTAATTTTAGGTAGTGGAAGAGGATTTTTTTTTCTTTCACTTTGTGTCTTGTAGACATAAAATAAAATTAAATATCTTTAAAGAGAACATAATTCTCATCATAGAGACTTGTCACAGGAGCAGGTGTCCTCATTGGAAGACTTCCTCTCCCTTCTTGCTCTGCTGACTTTTTTTTTTAATTTTACAACCTGTTTGTCCTGGTGACCATAAACTGGTCAGAAAAAATACATGGTAAAAATCTCCCCAGCAGGAAATCAGAATGCAGTAGAAAAAAAAAAACTACATTAGAACAAATAACAATTACAAAAATGGGACTTTTAAAGGCACAGATAGTACAATATCTATAAAATAGAATATTTATTATACATTCTCAAAGCAGTATTAACCACTTGCCCTCCAGAGGATTTACCCCCCTTCCTGACCAGGCCATTTTTTGCGTTACTACGCTGCATTACTTTAACTGACAATTGCGCGGTCATGCAACGCTGCACCCAAATGAAATTTGCATCCTTTTTTTCCCCCCACAAGTAGAGCTCTCTTTCGGCGGTATTTTATCACCTATGCATTTTTTTTTTTACACTATTAAAAAAAAGACCGACAATTTTGAGAAAAAAACATTTTTGACTTTTTGCTAATAAACATGTCCAGTAAAAAAATTGAAAAAATCAATTTCGTCATAAATTTAGGCCAAAACGTATTCTACTCCATGTCTTTGCTATAAAAAAAAAAATCCCAATACGTGTAAATTAATTAGTTTACGTGAGAGTTATAGCATCTACAAATGGCGGTGTAGATACTGAAATTTTTTTTTTCACTAGTAATGGTGGCGATCAGCAACTTATAGCGGGACTGCTGGACTGTGGTGGGTATTCTGACACTGGGGGAGAACTGACTTGGTGTCACTGACATCCCCGAAGACACCAATACAGTGATCAGTGCTAATAAAAAGCACTCACACTGTACTAATGGCACTGGGCAGGAAGGGGTTAACATCTGGGGCGATCAAAGGATTAACTGTGTGCTGTGCGTGTTTTACTAAGTGTGCTGTGTGCGTGCTTCTTTTTAAGCACACTTCTTTGCATGGCTCTGCTATGCAGTGTGTAGGAACTGACAGAGGAAAGATCTGTGTTGTATCTCCCTATTGGAGATACTTGATCACCGGTTGCCGGCGAGTAATCACACCAGCTGGGACCCGGTGATTGACAGCTGAGGCTGCGAATGGCGGTGCAAAATCACCTCTCTTTGTACACCAATAACAGCCATCTATGGTCTGGAAAGGTTTTCCATAAGATCTTGTAGTGTATCTGAGAATGTGTGCGTATTCAGCCAAAAGAGCATTTTTGAGGTCAAGTGTTGATGTTGGACGAGAAGACCTGGCATGTAATCAACATTCTAATTAATATCAGAAGCTGTTTCTTAGAGTTGAGGTCAGGGTTCTGTGAAGGCCACTCTAGTTTTGTGGATATGTTGTTTTGGGGTGTCATTGGTCAGAAAGGGGCGGATTTTGGAAATGTTCCAAAGGTTGAGGCAGCAGGATTTAGCCAGTAATTGGATGTGGGGCCCAAAGGAGAGGTCTGAGTCTAGGATTACGCCTAGCACCCTGGCATGAGGGGAAGGACCAATGGTTGTGCTGTGTATTTTAATGGTAAAGTCATGAGTGGGGGATCGGGGAGGAGGAAATATTACAAGCTCGGTTTTGGAAAGATGGTGTGACGTCTTTGCTGATGTATCGCTTAGTAGATTTGTGATACGTGAGGAGATTGAGGGGGTGAGCTGAGGAGTGGAGAGATAGATCTGGGTGTCATCAGCATAGAGGTGGCATTGGAAACCATGGGAGGTTATCATTTGGCCCAGGGAGGACCGCACACATAAATCAGTACTCATGCAAAATAAGATTCCAAAAGAAATATAAAAATTAAAAACCTGTTTTCTGCAAACTCACATATTGATATAGACGTAGATGCATGGCATCAGCACCCATACAGGGAGTCAACAGAGCAATCTTGAGTGAGAACCCACATCCACTGTTCATCCTGATGTCCCAAATATAATGGTGTCCTATCCCAAAGGAAACCCACAAAAATGGAAACAACAGAGAGAGACAATCCCAGCAAAGGTGAAGAGATAAATAGAAGGGGGAGGGCATATGCCCAAAACACATAAATCACTTACTTGGTCAGGAGACAGATGGCAGAACAATTCATATCTAGATGAATCCATACAGGGCATTTTCCATAGATTGTTGTCTATATAATCTAAACATAACAATACAGAAACAATCAATCAAAGATCCTTCAACATGGGAATGCCAGTTTCTTGAGGACTCCAAAACTTCCAGCACTCCCTTGCTGAACAGCTACCTATCACTCCTACCATAGAAGGCAGGAGAGGTTAGTGGGGTCAAATCAATGTTTGTTTTTTCGACAGAAGTGATGGGAAAATTCGAAGGGTAGGAAGAAAAAAGGTTCTTGATCAAATTAATTTTCAGCCAGTATATGTGGTTATCGTTCAGAAATTACATTCATTTTTAAACTTGAATGGTAAAAGCAAAAGACAATTTTCGAACAACATTCGTCCATTCACTGAATGTTCAAGGAATGTTCGTATGACTTTTCGTACGAATATTCTCGTCCGGAAATCTTCATGTCTATGGCCAGCTTAACTCTAAAGGAAAAATGCTTCATTAGTCTATTACTGACAAAACTTCAATTTTTTTTTCCAACCTTTTAGGAGTGCACCTCAATTTGCCTATATAGTGAAGCTGTCAAAGGAGGAGTGCAATGTCAAAGAAGAAAACAAATTTCCATTAATCACTGACATACAAATTCCTTTTTTTGATGCTATTGACAATGAGATAAATACAAATTTAGGTACAATGAAAGACGCAATGACGTACAGTAACATCTACACTGGAAATCGGATCTTAATGGCTACATTCAAAGACATTATTGTAAAGAACAAAGACAAAAAGATAACCTTTACAGAACATGCAGAGTATCGTCTTCTAACACCTCCGACAAAAGGAGTCCTTTCCCCCATCGAGAACTTTTTAAACGTTGACCCTAAGGCCCACTGTATCATATTTTACTCTCTAATCTCCCCGTGTGTAGGTAAATGCATCAACCAAAATGGAGAATACAATATACTGTCCGGTCTTCAAAAGTACTTCACACATATTCCACACCGCGCTTTTGTTTACAAGTTAGTGTTCACACCTGACCAGAAGAGTCTTAATGACAAAGTGGAATGGAAAAACGTAATAAAGGCTTGGGGAGACCTGAATGGGATAATGCCTCTGTTCCGATGTAATAGTGCCTCTTGTCAACAGTGCTTTCCATATGGTAAGATAAATGACTTCTGTACTTAAACCATACCTCTGACTACTGTACTAGAAACATGCTGATTAAGATGAGTCCTCTCTTCCCATTTTTTGCCTATTTTACCTTTAGATGTTTCTCAGGGATGATGTCATGGCTGACTATAATCTGCTTATGTGCAAGGCAATAAAATTGCTGATCAGCAAAATACCTTGTATGACTCTCCTTATTCATTATTTCTATTTGCAATACGTTTGTGATGGAATATAAGGTAAAAATAAAGAATTAACCAGGATGGACACAAGAAAGGAAAACTTGTGTTGAAGGAGGTATGCAGGCTTTCATAGGCAAGCTGTGTTTTTGACAATACTGGTCACCCTCCTGTCAAGCTTTGTCATTGGCTTCCCCACATTTTTAGGTCACTGACCCTGAACAAGGATGCAAATTTATTGATTTATTTTATTTATTTCAGGTACTTATATAGCGCCATCAATGTACTCAACGCTTTACATACACTATACTGCCAAAAGTGTTGGGACGCCTGCATGCTACATACACCCCCCATAAAATGCAATATTGATGTTTATGTGGGTTGCCTTCTCTCCATTTTTCCCTTCCATGGCAGTTCCACAGTGTCCGAGCATACATTGACAACCCATGCCTATTTTTTTGTGTGCATTTGACTAGGTCTATCCTGAAGCAGGGCTGCTAGTCACATATATTATATTGCCAAAAGTATTGGGACTCTTGCTTTTACACACACATGAACTTTAATGGCATCCCAGTCTTAGTCCATAGAGTTCAATATTGAGTTGGCCCGCCCTTTGCAGCTATAACAGCTTCAACTCTTCTGAGAAGTCTGTCTACAAGGTTTAGGAGGGTGCCTATGGGAATATTTGATCATTCTTCAAGAAGCACTGATGTGAAATGAGAAGGCCTGGCTCACAGTCTCCGCTCTAATTCATCCAAACAGGTGTTCTATCTAGGCATACCTCCTTCCTCAGAGCTATGATAACCAACATGTGATAGAGTCAGGTCTATATATACACATACACTATATTGCCAAAAGTATTGGTCGGCCTGCCTTTACACGCACATGAACTTTAATGGCATCCCAGTCTTAGTCTGTATGGTTCAGTATTGAGTTGGCCCCCCCTTTGCAGCTATAACAGCTTCAACTCTTCTGGGAAGGCCGTCCACAAGGTTTAGGAGGGTGTCTATGAGAAGGTTTGACTCTTCTTCCAGAAGCACATTTGTGAGGTCAGGCACTGATGTTGGGGGAGGAGGCCTGGCTCACAGTCTTTGCTCTAATTCATCCAAAAAGGTGTTCTATGGGGTTGAGGTCAGGACTGTGTGCCGGCCAGTCAAGTTCCTCCACCCCAAATCCACTCATCCATGTCTTTATTAGTGATGGGCCTAACACCCCTTTGTTCGATTCGTGGTAGAACATTCGAAAGGACCAAAAGTTTGCCACGAACATCAAACCTAATGAAAGTCTAACTAAACCTGTTTTTGATGCATACTGTTAGACAGGTTAATTCGGTTCTTGGCAAGCTGGCTGGCAAGTTGATCAGGAACATTGTTCTCTCCCTTTTTTATTTGA